ATTCCAATCAAATCAGAGAGGTCAGTCACACGATCAAAGCAAGACCGAGAAGCTATACACCTTCTACAAACTCAGATCACAAGAGTATCAGTTGATGAAGTGTATCGATATGCCACAACCTTACTGCGCAAGAAGGACATGCCACTCCTTCAGGCCTCAATGGAAGCAGTGCTGCCTAATTTAAGGAACACTGAAAGGTGCCTTGAGAGAGATCCAGTCAAAGCGGCTGCATATAAGGAAGAAATAAAGAAGCTGGAAGTCGCTGGCTATGCTGTAAAACTTTCCCCCCATGAAATCAGCAAAGAGGGTGAGTCATGGTTCCTACCTCACCATCTAGTTCAGCATAACGGCAAGAACCGTGTAGTTTTCAACTGCTCCTTTCAGTATCAAGGCCAAGTTTTGAATGACTACCTGCTGCCTGGTCCAGCTCTAGGCCCATCTTTGCTAGGCGTCCTTTTACGCTTCCGTGAGTATACTGTGGCTGTGAGTGGTGACATCAAGGGAATGTTTCACCAGGTCCGCCTTCTACCTAAAGATAAACATCTCCTTCGCTTTGTGTGGTGTGACCTGGACAGAAACAGACCTCCGGACATATTTGAGTGGCAGGTGCTACCCTTTGGTACAACTTGCAGCCCGTGTTGTGCCATTTATGCTTTGCAGCGGCATGTCCATGACCACAGTGAACCTGGTGATGAGGTCAGATCCACAGTCGAGAGGAACTTCTATGTAGATAATTGTCTGCGGAGTGTTCCATCCCCACAAGAGGCCAAACAACTAGTGGATAGACTGTGTGGACTCCTTGTTACTGGAGGTTTCCAACTCCGTCAGTGGGCAAGTAATGTGCCTAGCGTGATTGAGCATTTGCCAACTGAAGCCCGATCTGACAGCACTGAGCTGTGGTTGTCCCAAGACCGAAATGACACCCAGGAATCAACTTTAGGATTGAAATGGCACTGTCAATCTGACACATTCGGTTACAAGCCCCGCCATGTAAAGCCAGGAAAATGTACTCTACGTCACATTTATAGAGTATTAGCAACTCAGTATGATCCCCTTGGATCCTTCCATTCACCACGCGGGCTAAATTGCTGGTCCAGAGACTGTGGGAAAAGCAGAGAGAATGGGATGACCCTAATATGCCTGAGGATCTCCTGGAATCCTGGAATAACTGGGAAAAGGAACTCCCTAACCTGGCCAACATTACACTGCCTCGTTGTCTTGTGACATCAAATACAGACCAGTCAACGGTTACCAGACAGATTCACATATTCTGTGATGCTTCGGTGAAGGCATATGGGTCTGTCGCCTATCTACGGACAGAAGACCCAGAAGGCCAAGTTCAGTTAGCCTTCATTATGGCGAAATCCAAAGTTGCTCCTAAGCGACAACAAACCATTCCCCGACTGGAATTATGTGGGGCACTGAATGGTGCTCAACTGGCCAAACTCCTCGAAACTGAACTCACTTTAGAAATCAGTAAAGTGGTCATGTGGACAGACTCCACAACTGTCCTTTCATGGATAACGTCTGAATCCTGCAGATTCAAAGTATTCGTTGGGACGAGGATTGCAGAGATCCAGGAACTGACTACTGGATGTATCTGGAGGTATGTAGACTTGCACAGTAACCCAGCTGATGACCTTACCTGAGGTAGAATGCTTGTAGAGTTATCAATACCCAACAGGTGGAGCCAAGGTCCATCATACTTGCTCCGACCCGAACCGGAATGGCCAGTTACTCCTCCTATAAAAGCTCCCATGGATAAAGACGAACAGTGAAAGGGTATTTTCTGTGGATTACTGACAGAAACTACTGCCCCTAACATTCCTGATCCTGCCAACTATACTTCCTGGAGTGACCTCGTTGAAGCATCAGTTCAAATTCATAAACCCAATGAAACCCCATCTGCAGCGAAGTACCAAGCTGCAGAAATGCTCCTCTTTCAGAAATCACAAATTGATAGTTTCCCTGAGGAGTACAGACTGCTCAAAGCGAAAAGGCCAATTCTCTCCACCAGTCGGCTGTTAACCTTAGCCACAGAATATGATGAGTCTTACCAGGTAATCCGAGTTAGTGGTCGTCTTCGTCATGCAGAAGGAATGGAGCAATCAGTGATCCACCCTATAGTGCTAGATCCTTATCACACAGTCACCAAACTACTAATAAAAGAATATGATGACAAGCTCTGCCACCCCGGACCAGAGAGAGTATTTGCGGAAATGCGAAACTTTTGGGTGCTGAGAGGGCGTGAAGCCATCCGTAGGCAGCAGCATCTATGCAAAGAATGTCACAAGTGGAAAGGCAAACCAGTCATTCCAAAGATGGCAGATCTGCCACCAGCCAGACTGAGAATTCATAAACCACCTTTCTATACTGCCATGCAAAGGCAAAAGACCGTAACTTCGTGTTTGGTCGAAAATGAGTTTTTTATATTTTTGGCACATTCAAGACCTCCTTTATCATGTGGATAAGTATCTTGAGTCAATTCCGTTGTTTTTTCGAGAAAATAATGAGTTGTCTTAACAGTAACTTCCAAAAGCCCATGAGAATCCAAGGCAGAACACCGTAACACCAGTTACCGCTCTTTGGCTTTGTTTTGGAACGCTCATTTTGAGTTACGGTACTCTGCCTTTGTTTAGCCGCGCGTCAATATGAAGTTACGGTGCCGGTGTTCTATCAAATAATGCTACCTTTCAGATTGTACGGTGTTCTGCCTTTGTTTTGCTCACCATTAAAATTGAAATTACGATGTAGCCGGTGTACTTTGTACAGCTGCCATCAGTCCCTGTAACTTCTGATGTCCTCAGAGCTTTGTCCTGCACAAATGCGGTCAGAACATTTAGTATGGTCTGAACCCGCTCCATCGACAAACGTGCGATAGGCTATCCATCGCGAATGATATGCAGAGTTGACAGAAAAAATGTTACACACGCCGTAGCAGGTGAATACAACAAAGAACTAAAGCCCCGCCTCACCCAGATCGGGTACCGGACCTGGTTGAAACAATCATGCATCTAGCTGGCAGAGTGCCAAAACTTCGCCGGCGCCTTCACACTGCTCCACACTTTGGGGGTGCCTGGGAACGAGAGATCCGCTCTGTAAAGAATGCTCTTCGTATCACCATCGGCTCACAGACAGTATCTGAGGAAGTGCTCCTGACATTGCTTATTGAAGTGGAAGGGATCCTGAACAGTAAACCTCTTGGGTACACATCTTCCAATGTAGCTGACTTTGACCCAGTCACGCCCAATTACCTACTCATGGGGCGGCCTGATAGTTCATTACCACCTGTTATATATCCAGCAACAGAGCTCATGGGGCGGCGGAGATGGAGGCAAAGCCAGGTGCTAACCGATCAATTTTGGTCAAGCTTTATTCGCCACTACTTACCAACACTCCAAGCTCGTCACAAATGGTGTAAAGATACGAGTGATATTTCCTCGGGAACTATTGCTATGCTTGTAGACCCACAACTCCCACGTGCCATGTGGTTGGTCGGCAAAGTAGGTAAGACCTTTCCTGGATCAGATGGTCATATCAGAGCAGTGGAAATTCAAGTGAAGAATAAAATATACACTTGGCCAGTTGCAAAACTAATCCCACTTCCAGCCCTCGCAGATGACGAACATGACAAAGAATCAGATCCCCCTAAATGACTGTTCCATTAAAGTAGCAAATATGTTCAACATATTTGGGGGCGGCGATGTTGGGAAGGAACAACCAATCAGATTAGTTGTGCTCCATTGCGTCAGTCACTTTCAGTTCCTGATGAGCCTACCACGCTAGGTAGCCTACCACTTGGGTTTCTCCAGCGTGCACTTAACTTTCATGGTCAAAGTGGATATGTTTAAGTTGTGCGTCAATGATACCATGTAAGTAATTTAATGAGTGTTTTCTATTGGATGTCACATACTATGAATAATCAAAACATCGTGAGTTCGTTTGTCTGAGGTGACGACTATCCTAGATTCTAGCCTAAGATGTTCATTTAACATATATATTCCAAATACACTTGAGTTCAGTATAATAACGATCACTGATTAATGCCTTTACTGTGTATAAATGTATGTTTAAATAACGTATAGATCCGTTTTGTGATTATATAGATTTGTTAGCTTTTTGTGTAATGACTCAGCAAAGACATTTCGGATAATTCCGTTTATGAGCGCTACGCGCCACCTAGTGGTAAAAATCAGTATTGCAGTAAATAATGTTATGTTTATAATAGAACGATATTGGGATAAATGCCAGCTGTTGTTAATGATGATGGAAATGTTTGATATCTAATTATTGTTTATTATTCACTGTTTCAGACCACACAACATACTACCTCAGATACCATGTCTAATAAGATAATTCCATTCAATGCCCTGTGGTGTGACTGTGCCGTTCATTATGCTGAATATTCATGCTGGACCTAATTAAAACTGTTACTTCTGATTCCTGCCTCCTGTGTTCTGACCGACACACCAGTGCGAGCACAGCTAGTTTGAACCAGTGCAAATACAGTCCTAAGTAAACTCAATAATAGGCTAAGAACATGTGTGACAGATGTGGCATTTTACAAAAACAAAAGGCTACAGACAGCCTTGCAGAGGGCATATCCAATCCAACTAATGAGATATGGTTTTGATTACAGTAAACATTTTGCTGCATGGACGCATACACCTGTAAACACAATGAATACATTGCTTCATAGTACACAAAGTAGTATGTGTAATTAACTCAAAATGGCAATAAGGGTTGTCTCAGTTCACAACTGTATTGGTCAAGTTCTGAGTGAAGTTGATGAGGTGATGCTGCTTGACCTCAACACACCAAAGATCCTTTCTCAGCTTACCTACACCATATTCCACACCATCCTCATCCATTTCATGTTCTGAAAATAACGAACACAAAACAAAATGCAAGTTCAACCATTACATTTCACACATATTACACTGTACTTATTCGGTTGAAATATTTTTTTTTATATTTGCAATTCAGGTTTATAAAAATGCTTACCTATTTGTTTTCTGGCTGGATGTCTGACACCGTTTTCCTCTGGTCAGTCCGTCAATGTCTGGCTTTAGATCTTGTGCTGTAGCAATCCGTAAAACAGCGTGGAGGTTGTCATCGTTGATGCGTGATCTGTGCTTGGTCTTGTTTAGATTCATTATTGAAAACATCTGTTCGCACAGGTAGGTGCTCCCAAACATGGACAGAACGCGGGCAGCATGCGGCATCAAAGCAGGGGGCAGTAGGTTGTAAAAGTCCTCGATTGCAGCATCCTGGAACTTTGCTCTCAGGCCACTATTGCTTTGAAGTTCTATTAACTCCATCTGAAGGAGATGGGGCGCACTGTCGACGTCAGCGGCGAAAGGATTGGCAAAGATGGCAAAGCCTGGGTGCTGTGTTTTAAAGTCAGAGAAGCGCCGATCAAATTCAATTATTAACCGGTTCACTTTGGTAGCCAACCGAGCGCATGAAAAAGCACCAGAGACTGAGGCGGAGATGCTCTGACAGACAGGAAAGTGAGCAAGATTATCATGTTCCAGTTGAGACTTCCACATGTGCAGTTTACGCTGGAAAGCTGTGATCATGTCGGACATCTGCGTGATGACTTGTTTGCGTCCCTGCAGCCTCTGATTCAGTCGAGCGAGATGCTCCGCTAGGTCACACAACATAGCAAAGTCACACAGCCAGTTTGGATCAGACAGTTCATGCAAGGGTTTTCCTTTACTTTGCATGAAAAGCGCAATTTCTTCCCTCAGCTCAAAAAATCGTTTGAGGACCGCGCTCCTACTCAGCCACCTTACTTCTGTATGGTACGACACATCTCCATGCTCCGAGCCCAACTCCTTTAAAAACAGCTGGAACTGGCGGTGATTCAGGCCACGCGCTCGAATGAAGTTCACTGTTTTCATGACTGTGCTCATTATATCATCCAGTTCCAGAACCTTTCCACACAGAGCTTCTTGGTGGATAATGCAATGATAAGTTATCAGAGGTGTGTGGCAGTTACTTTTTTGCATTTTCTCCTTCACTAGTCCAACCAAGCCTGCTTTTTCTCCACACATCGCAGGTCCGCCATCGGTAGTTAGCCCCACCAACTTTTCCCAAGGTAATTTAGTTTTACTTACGGACCTCTCCACCGCATCAAAAATGTCCTTCCCCTTCGTCGTCCCATGCATTGCAACTACATCCAAGAGCTCCTCACTGATAGTGAAGTCTGCTTTCACGCCTCTTATAAAAATGGATAGTTGCGCTGTATCCGTATTGTCTGTACTTTCATCAACAGCTAATGAAAAAGTCTGGTAACTGCGTGTCTCTTTGACCAGCTGTGTTGTCAGATTGCCTGCCAGTTCCTTAACTCGGTCTGCGATGGTGTTTCTAGACACTGACATTTTTAAAATTCTGTATCTGGTCGGGGCACACCTGCTCACATACCTTTAGCATACTCCTCTTCAAAAATTCTCCCTCTGAAAAACACTTGGAAGCGCGAGCGATTTCTTCAGCCACAATAAAGCTAGCTTTCACGGCTGCATCATTTTTTGCTGTGGCTTTTGTGAACATATTTTGCTGCCATTGCAGTCTGCTTTTCAATTCTTGAACAATTAGATTTTTTTTTTGGAGACTAGAGTTAGCATACTTCGCTCCATGTTTGGTGTCAAAATGCCGACGTAAATTGTATTCCTTCATCACCGACACTGCCTCGCCACACAGAAGACATACCGGTTTTTCTCCTTGAAGTACAAACATGTACTCACTTTCACATCGTTCTTTAAATTGCCTCCCCTCTGCATCAATTTTTCTCTTTTTGGATATTTTAGTTTATAAATTTTAAATTTGGGTTATCTATAGCTCTTTCTCAACTCCACCGTTAAGCGCCGATATGGAAACACTGCTATCTAGCGGCACGATGCCGTCATTTCGCGGGTTACAAAATCGACATGCATTGTGGGAGATGTAGTTTTTGGTCAATGTACGCTGTAAGCATACTTTATTTTAAGACAATCATATGCCTTTTGAGCTCACGCGGGCCACATAAAATGACTGGGCGGGCCGGATACGGGCCTTGAGTTTGACACGTGGGTTAAATGGTATAATACACCAGACTAAACCTAATTCCCATCATTTGTTTTGTTTCATATCTAAACTCTCTCCCCCACAGAATTGAGAGGCTTTGGAGAGATGTGTACGAACGTTTTAAGCATGTTCTATCACATCTTCTACAACATGGAGAAAGAGGGAATACTCAATCCAGATTCTGAGATTGACATTTTTGCCCTTCACTGGAGTTTTTTGTGTCAACTGCAGAGGCATCTTGCCTTCTTTAAAGATGCATGGAACAACCACCGCATCAGAACTGCTGGGAGCCAGTCACCTGTCCAGCTTTGGTTAAGATACAGTGCCAACAATACTGATGACACCATTCAAGTAAGACATCATATTATGTATGTATGTATGTATGTATATATTATTATTTTTTTACATCAGATTATATATATATATATTTTTTTTTACATCAGATTATGTATATATATTATGGAGTATATAGGGTATATATTTACCTTTAGAGGTGCATAAGCGATTTCTGAGAAACACTGTTGATATTTGAAATCAACATCCCTATTGCTGATTGCCTATAAAAGTGTTTTGTTGCTCGGTCTGATTGGTCAGATCCACTTTTTTTCCTACTGTTTATACAGCCAGGACTATGTACAAACATATTTTGTCAGCACACACACAGAATAGACATCTAGCAAATATTCACAAAATAATTTGTTTCTTAGAAATCACATACTGCACCTTTAATTCTCAAGCCATTGTATTAGGAGAAATCATAAATGTCTTAATCTGTCGTCTTTTTCTATTATACTTTTAGACTATTATAACTTTTTTTTTCTCCTTCCACCCACAATATGACTGATTTTCATTAATGAACACAGGTGGATGAAAATTATGGGATCGACTGGGATGGACCCCCAAGTCACGATAATGATGGAGTGCCAATTCCAGAAGTGGCTCTACCTCGACAACTGACCGAAGAGGAATTGGTTAGTCTGCCGAATCCTAATGTGCCCTTTTCAGAAGCCATTGACACATACTACAACACAATCACTAAAATTCGACAATTACTGGACATTTTGTAAATAGCACTGTATTTTACAGCATTTCATATGTATAAACTCTCCAGCCACAGTTTATTGTAAGTGTTGAACAAAACAGTTAATTTACCATTGTAATAGGACAGAAAATATAATTTATATGTAATAAATAAATTACTTCCTCAAACTAGGGTGCAAAACTGTTTTTGTTTTGTTTTTTACAGGGTAAACATGCACCAATAGTGTGACTGCGACATTGTTACAGCCAAAAGTAAGCAAACCTGCAGTTTCAACTGTGACCTTTAGGTAGTGCAACTTAACTTTTTTTTTTGCTGAAGAGCTGCATGTTAGTACACAGAACAGTAATTACACCAAACCAAACCCACTCTCTATTGATGATACAGCAGCTTTCAGGTCCTTATGGAAACTCTCATAAGTGCTCTATTTTGCTGGGAGTTTGATGGTTTCTCTACAAGTGGATGCAGTTGGCATTTCAACATCAGAGGACACCTCTACATATAGATTCTGAGGAAGAATTCCCCAACCCACCCAGAATTGAATGAGTTGCATCAGCTCTTCTGGTGTGCCTGTGTAAAAATAGAAATCTTCAATTATATTTGATTTTCAGAGAGTGAATTATTACTAAAAGTCTGTTCAATGATACAATTTAATACATTGTATAGTTTCAGAAGACTTATAAATATAGTGTACAAATCATATGGAGTACTTTCATGGTGTACATATCCTTTTAAGAGTCACTATAATCTGCCAAAAGAATTATTTAATTGAGAATGCAACTTAAAAGAAAAAAAGATCATATAGAGTGAATACCGCATTTAAAAATGGGCAGTGGTGTACAGTATTTGAGTAAATGTATTTATCACCCAAACTTGTCAATAAGGCTACTTTATGCAAATGTGAGTGCATTAGCAGGTAGTTTCTGAATCGTAGGTGTTTCATATATGAGATGAGGACATATGCTGCCTTCACGTGCTATCGGAATTTTCTATTTCCCACTTCTAAAGTTGGATTAGGAGCTCATCACATTACATTTTTGACCTGAGGGTATTCATGTCCAATTTTTTAAACTAGGAAACTAGTATTTATGTTAATTCCGATAGCGTGTAAAGGCAGCAATAGCTGGAGCCAGTGATGAGGCCCAAACCACCATGCCCACTTTACTTAATTTTACTAAACTTTATTTTATTTTATTGGCTGAACTATCCCTTAGGTACTTTTTTTTTTAGACTTTTACTCAAGTGATGTTAGAATTGAAGTCATTTTCTCTGTAAGGTATAGGTATTATGTACTTTCACTTAAATGTGGTTTTAAGGTTCTCTTTACATCTCTGAAAATGAGTTTGTACAAGTTAAGGGTATTAAGAGGTGGTTTCTTTTTACCTACCATTTTCAATGTACTGACGAAAGAAACCAGTTATCTTGAATGTGTCCTCCAGACTATAGCCACCATAGTCTTCATCATCACTGTCAACTGTAGGCCCTATAATTCTGTCGAGGACCATCTAAATACAGAGCAAAAAAATACTATACATTCCATCTGATCAAAAAACCTGAATTAGGGTTAATGGTGACAAATTAAATTAATTAGATTACCTAGCCAAGATTGATCTAGTATATACTGTATCGATTCTCTATTTAAACCACACAATGCAATTCATGGATGAAACGGTATATGGTATAAATGCAACAATACCTCTCGCTCAATCATTTGAGCTTACGCTCTTGGAAAAAGAACATCAATCAGGGCAGGCCGTTCTTTGACCATGTGCAAGACTCCTGTGTCTTTTAACCCCAGTCTGATCTGTCGAATTTTCTTTTCCCTCCGACCAATGACCTGTATTAATTCATTTAGGATTATTTAATGATGTAAAATATGAAATCTGTAAAAATGGTCACTAAACAAAAGTAAATAAACAATGAATCCCCAACTATTTGGGAAGTCAGGAACACAGACAAGCAAGGTGATGCAGAAAGTAAAGCATCACAGTGCTGTTATACTAAATATCACCCCTCCAAGGATATGAATAATGTTTTTGTTTTTTTAAGTATTTTTGTATGTCGAGAGTAAACCATACATTATAGAATCAATGGCACTTACTGCATGGTAAAGGATGCTTTGTGCCAACCATTTTCTGTTGTTCTCATTTACAGGTGGGAGATCCCTGTTGATTGCCAAGTTATTTACTTGGTCATGTTCATCTTCTGTCAAATTTCCAGACCCTTGAAGCTATGGCAGCAGATATGTATCAGAATTATTTGTAGAATGTTCTTCAAGACACACTTAAAGCATGCAATAACAAATTTTGTCATTATACCATGGTCTGTCTGAATATTTGATTCTGGGTTAGGAAGGTGTGCAATAAGTAAGGGATAATCCACAGCTAGCCGAACATGACATTATAGATGATGCTGAATTTAAACTCACATGTAAAACAATATCAGTCACATCGGTGTCAGGGCAGTCCTCTTGTTACGGTTGGGTGTAGGCAGGAAGCACGAGGAGATCAGGATTTCCAAAAACAATATACTTTACTAATAAATCAAACTCAAACTGATACAGGCAGGCAAAGGATGCACAGGTAACATACACACACCTTTCACAAACGCACCATATACAAACGAGAACCGACAAGGAGTGAGGGAGAACACAGGGTTTACATACACAGAGAACGGATCATGGGAACAAGACACAGCTGGGGCAAATTAACTAGAAACAGGTGAATGAACTAAACACAAACGAGGAGCGGGAAACTGGAAACAGGACAGAACCAAATACACAAAGAACGGGGGAAACACAGGACATACATGTAACATTAGCCCCCCCTCCTGCAAGGCGCGTCCTCGCGCCGTGTAACATCAATAAGGGTGGGGGGGTGACGAGGGCGTGGCCTGTAGGAGTCCAATGCCTCCAGGGCGGAGCAGGAAGTGCAGGCGGCCAGGGTGGATCAGGAAATGCAGGCGGCCAGGGCGGAGACTTTCCCTCGGACGGCCAGGGTGGAGACTGTCCCTCGGGTAGCCATAGTGGAGAGGCCACTTCAGGTGGCCAGGGTGGAGAGGCCACTTCAGGTGGCCAGGGTGGAGAGCACTAGGGTAGCCAGAAAAGAGTCTCTGGGTGTGCATAAGACAAACTGGGTGTGCCACATTTATTGTCAGATTAATGTGCAATAAACCCAGACTTTGCCTATCTCTAACTTTACAGAATAGACTGGGCTGATGTGTTAAACTATAGGCTACTCAGCCCCAAATAACCATAATACTATATAAAATATAACTCAGGGCTCGACATAAAGCCTCTTCATGTGCTTGTCCTTCGAACAAGTAAATCGGTTACATGACCAAGTAAAAAAATTACTTGTCCAGAAAAAAATGCAA